GGACACGAAACTGACGTCAAAAACGCAGCGTGCTGACCACTAGACGGTGCGGTATCGGACAGAGAAACTAGAAAACTTGTGAGCGATGTTTTTGGAAAACCAGACTACGAACTGCAGAAAATCTTGATAATCGAAGCTATTACCTTAATTTAGGTTTTATCTCATATAAGCAATTTTCTTTTTTTCTGCTACGTTTTATCTGATATAAGCTATTTACCACATCATTAGAAACAATAGCTACCTGCAAAAATTGTTGAAACGGAGACATCCATTTCATCAGTTGATTTTTCATCCACCGGCGAAGTAGGAATGTTATCCAATTTCGATTCTATATGCGGTAAATTCGAAAGTACAATATGTGCACAGTAAGTACATAACCTTAAATCACCCGTGTATCCTGAAATGCACTACAGCGCGTTTGCAATGCTTCACGATGACCTGATTTCTCGAATGTCAGAAACAATTAATCACAGCAGTAATTACCAAAAAACAAGTGTAAAAAAAAACACCGCCGGAAGCAGTGGAAGAGAAAATCGGTTGTAAAAGAGAAAAACGAGTGGTAGGACTGGGGAAACAGTCCTTATTTGCCAAGATTGTTGAGATCAGCTGAACTGCATCACTCTGCTAAGAGCAACCCTACGCAGATTCTAGGAGAAACGCGCATAAATTTGAAAAAAAAAAAGAAAAAACTGTGACAAAGGAAAATCTTCAAAAAATGTTTTTTTCCTTTACAGGTAAAAGCGGAATAAACAATTTAGCCACTTATTATATGTCAAAAAACATCTTGAAACCGTCAAGGCACTGTCAAGTGTTTCTGTTGAGGAAACTATTAAGATGGCGATTCTGAAGTTATAGTTCAAGTGTTTCTTTTGAGGAAACTACTGAGCTGGCGATCCTGAAGTTATAGTACCGGTCAAAGTAATTCAAAAATTTGTTATAGCTAGAGCCAAATCATGCATTCAAAATGTTACGTGGAAAATAAAATCGCAAAATTTAGCTGAAGAAATCGCACAAAGCACCAATGGAATTGAAAAAAAAGACAATGGAACATCAGCAAAATAAAGTATTGAAATCGATGAAAGATTTCCAACCTAA